GGGTTTTTTGTATTGGCGCTGAGTCAGCGCTCAAAGAGTACTCCTACATGTTTTAAATTTGTTTTAAATTAATTATCTTATCTTTGAAAATCAAACATGGTAGGGGTCATGTGGTTCCAAATTCATTTCTAACCCCAGTCTTCATTTACCCAATTTACTTTTACACAACATTACCAAGGCACAGAATACATTTTACTGGTGCGGGAATGGGCGATGGTTGAATAGGCATAATCAAATTTAAGAACAGTTGTCAATAATTTCATTAATCACACACTCGATATACTCTTTTCCTATCAGAATGGACAATTAACTCAGTTGATACTTTTAGACAGTTACATGTTGAGCAATTATATTTAATTTTATCTGCAGGTATAAGGCCTGATGCATGACTGTCAGGCTCCGTACGTCCTTCCTATAATGGAAATGCAACAAATCAGACCCACATGCCTATAGACCCATTTCAATACTGACCTGCTTCAGAAAACATTTACCCACCACGCCCAGCAATAGATTGAATAAATGGCTTCAAATAATGCATTTACTTTGCCAGTGCAAGCCGGATTTCGAAAATATGTTTCTACAGTTCATTTTTGTAATGGATATACTGATAAAGTTTGTAATATTTAAATGTGCATAACTTCATTTGTAAATATATATAGTCATGTAATATAGTTTATTCTGTCATTTTGTACCATCGTGTCCGTGGTATAGATGTAGAGTGTCGGAGTCAGCATACTGTGTCTGAGTGGGGTGTTCATGTTAAACTGCGGCATGGTATCTCAGTGTGCTAGCACTATAAACCGGCATCAGTCCGGACTATTACAAGCAGACACACACCCACGTGCATGCACGTCGCTATATAAGTCCAATAATCATTGACACGACGTTAAAATCAATTTCACCTCACCTCACCTTGTACCACCGTGGGTGATTTTCGAGAATAAATATGAATTGAGTTATTGAGTTGAGTTGAGATTGCTCGGGTGGATTAAGTGCAACCACGATGAGGAATTGACGAGGTTGAGACTGAACATGATGGCCTCTTGGCTGATTCTTAACGAATAGAAACATATGCATGTTGAACGGTAGAGTGGGAACTGACTTAAAAGTGAAAGTTTAAATCACGTGCGGACTAAGCTAAAGAATGAATTCTGTGGTGAACGTAAACCTTTCAACAAGGACTCAAAGAAGCTTTGAGGCAATTTGAACTTCAGAAGAAAGTTTATCTGAGATTAGGTGTTAATTAAGCGACTCATCAAGCGGTATGGATACGATAGTCAACTATCAGACATACTCTAAAGAAGAAGTCAGAAAGGCTATTAACAAAGGCTTCACTCGATAAGGCGGCTGATTTAAATAATATATATCCCGATCGCTGTGCTGAAGAACGAGGTATGTGTAGAATTGTGTGAAAATGATAACTAGTATAGTTCGACCTTATGGAACATTGTGAAGATACTGACACCAGAGACCCTCTTAGACCTATGACAGTGTTATCCATACCATTGAAGATATGTGCTGATGTTATCAACATAGTTCGTGTAAATACTTGAGGTGGAAAATATTCTGTGGCATTTGATTACACTGACAGTTAGCGGTACCTAGGTTATGGTTCTTATTTTCTTTGTTTGGTGTTTAAACGCCGCATTCAACAGTATTTCAAGTGACGGTGATTATTGTTGAATGTACACTGTAAAATTATTCATCAAGGGTCCTCATCGGCAGCGCTGGGTTTCCTGTTGCATAGGTATGATTTATGTATAGATATGCACTGCAATATGTTTTCCTCGTCTCTATGACAACCGGTACAACCGGTGCTCGCCTCCTGTTAAGAAAAACGGGTTGCCAACAAGTATAAGGAAATGTACACCATCAAGCATCGTGACTGTAGAGCTTTTCGGTGCTATTCCAGAATTACACCTAACGTTGTTAAGAAAAACGGGTTGCCAACAAGTATAAGGAAATGTACACCATCAAGCATCGTGACTGTAGAGCTTTTCGGTGCTATTCCAGAATTACACCTAACGTTGTTAAGAAAAACGGGTTGCCAACAAGTATAAGGAAATGTACACCATCAAGCATCGTGACTGTAGAGCTTTTCGGTGCTATTCCAGAATTACACCTAACGTTGTTAAGAAAAACGGGTTGCCAACAAGTATAAGGAAATGTACACCATCAAGCATCGTGACTGTAGAGCTTTTCGGTGCTATTCCAGAATTACACCTAACGTTGTTAAGAAAAACGGGTTGCCAACAAGTATAAGGAAATGTACACCATCAAGCATCGTGACTGTAGAGCTTTTCGGTGCTATTCCAGAATTACACCTAACGTTGTTAAGAAAAACGGGTTGCCAACAAGTATAAGGAAATGTACACCATCAAGCATCGTGACTGTAGAGCTTTTCGGTGCTATTCCAGAATTACACCTAACGTTGTTAAGAAAAACGGGTTGCCAACAAGTATAAGGAAATGTACACCATCAAGCATCGTGACTGTAGACCTTTCGGTGCTATTCCAGAATTACACCTAACGTTGTTAAGAAAAACGGGTTGCCAACAAGTATAAGGAAATGTACACCATCAAGCATCGTGACTGTAGAGCTTTTCGGTGCTATTCCAGAATTACACCTAACGTTGTTAAGAAAAACGGGTTGCCAACAAGTATTAGGAAATGTACACCATCGAGCATCGTGACTGTAGAGCTTTTCGGTGCTATTCCAGAATTACACCTAACGTTGTTAAGAAAAACGGGTTGCCAACAAGTATAAGGAAATGTACACCATCAAGCATCGTGACTGTAGAGCTTTTCGGTGCTATTCCAGAATTACACCTAACGTTGTTAAGAAAAACGGGTTGCCAACAAGTATAAGGAAATGTACACCATCAAGCATCGTGACTGTAGAGCTTTTCGGTGCTATTCCAGAATTACACCTAACGTTGCCGTTAGAGGAGACATGGGCTTGCCAGGTCCCCAGTATAAGGCGTACATAGAGACAGAACGGCTGTGGTGCAGACTTGTGGGGTTGTTTCAAACAAGACTCACAACTAAAATCAAGTCTTGGTCCAATCATTTGAATGTCCGGTTGTGTGCAATGCATTAGCTCCTGTGAACTATGTTCACTGGGCCTTTTTGTAAATGGCCTAATTGCAGCACTAAAAAATGTTCTTACTGGTGTTGTTTTGCCATCTGCAGTTTATGATAGAATATGTAACTGTATTTGTAATGAGTAAGGATGAGACATATGGACGAACAACTTCTTTATTACAATTAGGAGCGATGGTTTCGGTGTAGGTTCTAACACCGTTATCAAGCGAGTGAAGTACAGAGTATGGTTGACAAGAATATATACAGGAGAGGAGGTAGTGTTTATACAGTTGAGTAGGTTTAAGATCAGTTACACTGTTGTATTTGTAATGAGTTGTGTTTCTGCATATAGTTAGTTAGTGAATGCAACAACCGTGTCCATGACACTTTTGGAGGAACATACACACAAGCAATGCAGAACCTACCAACAAGAAAGGAAATGTATTCAATACTGCGAGATGACATTATGTGCCACGTTTGTTAAAGAAATATGGTACGGTTTTAAAGATCTGCCCCGGAAACGAGGACTACCACCATTTTCAGTCTAAGTCAAAGTCGTTGCCATGGAAATGGAAAAATAATTTTTTTTTAAATCCCAAACTATCAAAAGGCACCAGTTCACCACTAGACCTATCTATGTGCCACGTTTGGTCAAGAAATATGGTACGTTTTTAAAGATCTGCTCCGGAAACAAGGACTACCACCATTTTCAGTCTATGTCAAAGTCGTTGCCATGGAAACTCGAATTATTTTTTTCCAGATCTGCTCCGGAAACGAAATGTGACTTATGGACGGACGGACGGAAGGATGGCAGGACGGAAGGACGGACGGACGGCACCCATTACTATATTCCCTTTCCACTTCGTGGCGGGGGATAAAAAGTGTTTGGTGATTTTGGTGTTACGGATATTCTTAACGGCAAAGACAAGTCATCAGGAAACAGTTTAAATCAAATATATAAGCGCCTCAAAGAAACAGACTGTGCCATTTGGTATGAAACGTCTAAATTAAGAAAACACAAGATTTTATTTGTCTTTGAATACAGAACCTTATCCTATGATCCCACATTACAAACGTTTTATTTTAGCTTAAGGTGTAACTCTTCCTTACCAGAAATAGAAACGGCCAGATATTATAATTCCCCTCTTCAAAGTGTGTGGATTTTATTTTAAATGTATCGAAGATGAAAAACAATTTATATTGCAATGTCCATTTTATAATGATATGTGTTGAGCTAAAAATTCAAAATATTTTAGATTAACCAGCATTTGTCCATAACTTCTAAGATGTTAAGAAGAAACCTTTTCGACAAAATAATGTTATTAGAGGAAAATTTGGTCAAATGTGTAAAAAATGTTCTCTCGTTGTAAATGTCTCAAAGTCATATGCTTTCTTTGCATGTCGTTTCCCGTAAAAGTTGAATAAAAAAAATTAATATCACAAGATTGATTTATTTGTATAAACACATTTGTCAGAGTCTCATCGGCCTGATACGACAAGTATAACATATACCAATTTGTTTCACTATGTATCTGTACATGTTGTTTTATGCGTGACACTATTGTAAACAATCCAGGCAGCCAATATAGCACAGCATTCATTATCTATTGCGTTTGATTGATGAATATCATACATCCATCTAACCAAGCTGGTTTCAGTTGTGATGGCAGCACGGAAACTTTTGCATTTGAACATTCCAAACGAAATTTCCGGGCACCGGCAAATCTAAATATCCTCAATAAAGTTATCTCATAAGTAAACAAATAAACACACACACACACGCACGCACGCATGCACACACGCACAAACACACTCACATACAAACACACACATGTGGACGTCACATACACACACATACAAATTATACCGTGTAGGATGCGTAAATTATGACAGTAAAACAGAAAACAGTTTACTTACCAACAAGTTAGCTGTCACAGTATGAACTGAGAGCCGTTTGTAGAATCAATACAGAGGACCTGTGAGTGTGACTCCATTGGGCAATTCAGTTAGATTTGATATGTTAGTCAGTGGGCTTCTAAACCAAAGTACTTCTTCACCCCGCCGGCAAACATTTGTCCACTATTTATTTACAATTGTGTCGCGCTTGAACCATTAGCGTACATTATGAACTCTATATTGTGTACAGAGTACAACGTGCTTGAAATCTAACCTTTGTGAAAAATACGCCCTGTGTATTTACTGTTCACTCTCGGGGACACGGGCGGCCCAATCGTCTGGCAACTGTGATTGGGGTTTCTACCCGGTGTGCCCCGATTATGTTTCTAGGTTTGTCTTTATGTCTTTTGTGTTCGTACATGTGTGGGCCAACGGCCCATGGCACATTTATTAGTCCACAGCATATAATACAGATTCACGATAATTAAATTGAGTGAGTTGGGTTTAACGCCGCTTTTAACACTATTCCAGTTATATCACGGCGTGTCAGCTTAATGTGGGAGGAAAGCCCGAAGTGATGCAGGTCTCAGACGTTTACTACCTCGGTGAAACCGACGAGCACGGGTATGGTGCTGACAAACCTAGAAACATAATCGGGGCGATCCGGGATTCGAACCCACAATCATAGGTTTCTGACGTGCCCAAGGGACGCAACCCTGCACAGCGAATCGCGGCGCCTTAGACGACTGGGCCACCCGTGCCCCCTCACGATAATTAAAGGCGTCATACATATACATTGCAATATTTCTAATTCATAGTCACACATCAAAGTAATAAATGTATCTAGTGTAGGATAGACATAATATTTTTCATGTTGCCTTTAATTAACATATTCTTTTACGAATTAACAAAAAGTGATATTCATTTTCCATACAACCAGTATTACATATTTTACAAATCCTCAACTCTCTTGGTGTTTTATCATACCGCCCTGCTTCACCATATAAAGAATGTGAGCTGCAACGGAAACGACTTATTGCCGACCTAAATTTACCAATAGTTAAAGCAAATATATATGGTTCAACACAGAATGATGTTTTAAATAGGCAACAATAATGATCTTAGAGCTATTAGTAACTGATGAATGACAAATCCATTCTAAACCTGATACAAATTCATCAATAAACAAGTTTGGAAAATCGACAATCTGATTGTTCCAAACATAGTCTATTCCAATATTATACAAGAGGCGCTTAATTTTAGACACCCAAATATATTTGCCATTTAAAGCTTCAAGATACAATATATTATAACTTTTCTTCGGGTAACGGGAATCAACCACATTTAAAATCTTATAGACTAACATCTAGTCTCTGAAATGAACATATGGTACAGAAAAAACAGTTGCTCAGTTATCTTAATAAAAATATAATAAAAAGGGAGCCCAGTGATTCTCTTCATTTCCTGATACTGCAGTAATCTAGACTTGCCAAACATTAGACTTGCAGGGGCTGTATTTGATTTATATTTGTATCAGGGTCTTTAAGACAGACTAAAAATCTTACACCAGTATCAGTGCAACGTTGGTAGGCTGTAATTTACATAATACATATATCTTCCACATTCACCGCGGACAGTATGGTCTGTCATGGAAGCTTTAACCCCCAAAACTGTTTACAAGCTAGGTTTATCAGCACCATACCCTCCTCATGGTTTGACCAGAGTCGAACATCTCTGAAACCTGCATCACATGTGGTATAAACATATTTTATTCAACTTAACTTGAAAGGGATTGGTAAACAGGCCCAACTGGCTTATGTAAATACCGCTCCCTGTTACATAATTACATTTATGTTGACATCAAAACTTTTAGGTCAAGAAACAATTCAAATTTTATAATAAGACGACCAATCGTGTTACCAACACTACAATCATGTGCGTATAACCTTAACATATATTTATGCTCAATGTACAAGCCTACCACTATTTTCTATAAAATCATGGACAGTCATAAGTATGTTGTGGTTTACGTTGCTTGTTAAATTCTTGTTGCCATACTATGCTGTTTTCAGATCAAAACCCTTTATGTAATAGTACATAGTGCTTCTAATGTTATGATAAGTAGGACAAGTAAAGAGGAAGATAAGTGGAGACTCCAAATAAAAACCACACTGACGTGCTGCAATATTTGAAATATGTCTTTCAACTCTATAGCTATTGAGATCACTGCATCCAAATCTTTAACGAGCATCCAAATATATGTAACCCTAAACTAGATATAAAAGAATGGTAATTAATTTAATGCATTTTGTATTATTTTACCGGTAAATGTTTATATCATCATTAACATTTAGACGCCCTTTTCCGAAGATTACCGCCCATATTATAATATTATGACATACAACATCATGTTATATATGGGGGCACGGGTGGCCCAGTCGTCTAAGGCGCCGCGATTCGCTGTGCAGAGTTGCGTCCCTTGGGCACGCCAGAAATCTATGATTGCGGGTTCAAATCCCGGTTCGCCCCGATTATGTTTCTAGGTTTGTCAGCACGATACCCGTGCCCGTGGGTTTCACCGAAGTGGTAAACGTCTGTGACCTGCATCACTTCGGGCTTCCCTCCCACATTAAGCTGACACGCCGCGATATAACTGGAATACTGTTAAAAGCGGCGTTAAACCCAACTCACTCACTCACTCACTCATGTTATATATTCCATTTTCGAACCTACACACCATGTTTTTTCATAGGTTATATCCGAATTTTCGCATTACCTATAAGATACATTGGTTAACCTTGTTAACGTTTCGGCAACGTTATCATTACAACAATGATATGATGAAACAGTTATTAGTTACTGTAAACACTGTAAAGAGAGTAAAACAAACAAAGCCGGTAGCGAAGGCGAGAAGCCGTTGAGAATATACCGGACAAGCATTTCCACGACCTTGTTCAAGGAGAGCGCTTTAAAATCGTTGTTAGTTCAACCATTACACTCGTGAAATTAAAGGACAAGCGCGGTGAAAAGGTGCGAGGTTACCCCATGCCAACCAGTGAGAACAGTGCAACGTAACATGGCATGATAAGGTTACATTTTCCCACGCCATAAAGAGCCAGAAGTTTGATGTGGCGTCACGGTTGGGAACAATGAAATTCTTTTCGTTAGTATTGCACAATCCAAAACAATCTAGCTTATTACTGTTTCCATAATATTAATTTTACATATATACGAATCAGAGGAAGGGTGTGTGAGTTGGGTTTTAACGCCGCTTTTACCAGTATTGCAGTTATATCGCGGGGATTCGAACCGGGATTCGAACCCACAATCACAGGTTTATGGCGTGCCCAAGCAAGGCAACCCTGCATCGCGACGCCTTAGACGACTGTGCGTTATGTGAGTTTGTGTGATTTTATAGGTTTAGAATTTTAAGGTTTATGGACAGCTTGTTTGTTGATACGGCCGAGTAGGCCTGTTTTGATAAAGTAGATGCCTTAAAAGTTTGTAAGTCATTTAGGGGGTTTAGTAGCGTTGCTAGTGTCATTCGATTGTTGCAGTTTAGTGTGGACTGGAGTGTTGTTCTGTGTTGATGGTAATGTGTGCAATATAGTATAATTACATGTTCTTGAGTTTCTTTTTAGTTGCAGTTAGGGCATTTACCGGTTTGGTGTTGTTGTTTATTTAATTTGGTGTCGGTGGGAGTGTAACGTAGTGTAGCCTGTTTGTAGTTTAGTTACTACTCTGTCATTTGTTTTTGTTTTATGATGGATGTTTGGTTTCTTGGGTGGCTTTTGTAGCAGGTGTTTTAGTTTGCAGTCAGATTTCTGATAGTTATGTTGCCACTTTTGGACGATTTTCCCCTTTGTGATACTTTTAATTTCGTGTTTTGATATTGGTAGGTCGATGCTTACTTCTTCTAATTTTAGTGCTGATTTGGCTGCTTTGTGTGTTCGTTGCAAAACGCTACAACATGGGCAGAGATCCAAACTATTTCTATGTTATTACCTAGTTTACGTAGATTGTTTGCGCTTTTAATTATCTGTTGTATTAGTGTTGGGCGCTTTTTTGTGTTTTTGTTTTCATGGCCTGGACCCCACTTAATGAGTCTGAAAGGATTAGGTATTTTTGGTGTCTATTCATTTGATCGCTGTGCAGGGCTGTTACAATCCCCATTAATTCGGCTGTGAAAATTAATTGATCATCTGGGAGCCTATAGGATTTTGTTTCTTTTTGGGTTTGTTGATATGGATGCCGAATCCTGTGCGTTTTGAGCCTGGGTCAGAGACCCGTCTGTGTAAATGTGGCACCAATTTGGCCATTTTTCGTGAATGTATGCAAGTGTGGTGAATTTAGCGGAATGTCGGTTTGATGTTTGGGTATGAAGGTGTTATTTGATGCTGTGTTTAGTTTTAAATTATTTAGGTTGTGTGAATTCAGGTAATTTATTATGCGTTTATTATTGGTATTAATTGAGGATGGTTGTTGCGAGCTAGAGCTTGGAGTCTGGGGCTTATGTTGGTTTTAAGGATTTGTTGGTTTTATTGGGTTGAAGCCCAGTAATTTATTGTTAGATGTTCTCGGCGTAGATCCAGGGGTATTTCGCCTGTTATTGCCTGCAGTGATATGCGCGGTGTGCCTTGCTGAGTGCGTGTATCTATCTTAAGTGCTTGATATTGAATTGAGTTTAGTTTATCGCTTAATGAGGAATCTAAGGTGTTGTATATTTGGCATCCATAGTCTATTTTTGAACTCATGAGTGATTTCTAAAGTGATAGTAGGGTTTCTTTAGAGGCCCCCCAGTTGGAACCTGTCAGGCAGCGTAGTGTGTTTAGGTCTTTAGTGCATCTATTTGTTAGGTTTTTAATGTGAGAACCCCAGGTGAGGTGTTCATCAAAGATTAGTCCAAGAAATTTGGTTTCTTCTAGGAATTGTTTGGTTTATTTGTTTAGTTGTAGTTTGGGGGTGTTTGCACGCATATTTCTGTGTTTGAATACTATCCCTGTAGTTTTTTCGGCATTTAGTGAGACACCCAATGTATTTGCCCATATTTGAATTTTATTGATGCATTCTGCAAGAATCTTTTAGCCATATTTATTCTTCTTATGCTGACCTAGGGGGCTC